GGGGGGAGCCGGTCCCAGGCCTGGAGGGTCCCCAGGGAACCAGACGTGGGTCCAGGTGGGGGCAGAGTGGCTCCTGGCAGGTGACCTTGCTCTTCTGTGGGAACAGAGCCCGCAAGGGAAGGGGCCGGCTGCCACCCCGGGGGTGAGGTCCATCCTGACCGTCCAATAGCCTTGCCCTCCAGCCCCTCGGCCCACGCCCTCCAGGTCCCGGGGCCTGTCTGCAGAGTGCTCAGTGGGGCTCTGTCTGGCGCAGGTCACGGAGCTGGCCAACCCGGTCACCTGGCTGGACGCAGGAGCCCAGGTCTTCTATTCCTTCTCTCTGGCCTTCGGAGGCCTTATCTCCTTCTCCAGCTACAACTCTGTACAGTGAGTGTGGGGCTGGGCGGGAGGCCGGGTGCTGGGCCTTGGTTTCCCTGTCAGGCCTGGGGAGTTCTGTGGTGAAGATGAGAAGGACAAGACAGAAAGTGCCCCATATTCCAGCATTGGCCGGAGCCTCCCTCGCCACCAACAGGCTGCGTCACCTGCCTGCAGACCTGGGTCTGTCTGAATGGAGGCCCGTGCCTGAGGGAGGGTGGCCTCTTCCTCGGGAGGCTGCTGGCTGCCAGACCCCCTGCAGCTCCCTCCACGGGTCCCTCCCTGAGCCTGCCTGGGGCCTTCACCACTCCGCCCAGACGTTCCTTGCACCCACACGGCCCCCAGCTCACCCCGGCATCCCAGGGTCCCAGACACATGCCACAGAAGCCCTGCCCAGGCCAAGGTCCCACCCTTCCGGCTGTGTCCCACCCCCTCACAAATCTGTACTTCTCGACACCCCTTGGAGGCCAAACCTTGAAGAGCCCCCAGCAGTGTCCAGAAGAAATGTAGTCTGTGTCAGTTCACTTCCACACACAGTCACGGAGCACTGCGTGCCAGCCTGGGGCATCTGGACCTGCCTCGGGCTCTGTCCTCACCCTGGAGATGAGTGCGTGGAAATGCTGGGTGGAAGTGATGGCAGACAGCCAGAAGCAGAGACAGGTCCTGGGGGCAGGCCTCCCGGGGTTGGGACAGGACACCCAGGGTAGGGGCGAGACTCCTGGAGGGAAGATGCATCTGAGCAAAGGCTCAGGCCTTGAGTGCCAGCAAGGGGGTGGGGCAGGGAGGTCTGGGCAGGGAGGGCGGGGCCTGGCAAGAACTAGGTGGGGTCAGGGCCCAGATGTGGCTTGGAGAGGGTGGGGCCTAGATGGGGTGTGACCTAGGCAGGGAGGGTGGGGCTCTGGGCAGGGCCTAAATGGGGTGTGGTGGGGGCAGGGTCCAGGTGTGATTGGGGCATAGATGGGGTGAGGCCTGGATGGGTGTGGTCTGGGAAGGGAGGGTGGGGCCTGGGTGGGGCCTGGAGGGAGGTGTGGCCTGGGCAGTGGGTGGGGCCTAGAAGGGTGTGGCTTGAGCAGGGACGGTGGGGCCTAGACTGGGTGTGTTGTGGGCAGGGAGGGCAGGGCCTGGGCAGGGACTAGGTGGGGTCGGGGCTCAGCTGTGGCTTGGAGAGAGAGGGTGAGGCCTAGATGGGGTGTGACCTAGGCAGGGAGGGTGGGGCCTGGGCAGGGCCTATGTCCTAGGTGGCCTAGGACCCACCCCATCCCTAGGTGGGGGTGGAGCTTAGATGAGGCGTGAGATAGACTTGGAGGGTGGGGCCTGGACTGGGCCTAGGAGGGGGGCCTAGATGGGGTGTGGCTTGAGCAAAGGGGGTGGGTCTTAGATGGGAGTGTGACCTGGGCAGGGAGGGCGGGGCCTGGGCAGGGCCTAGCTGGGGTATGGCTTGGACAGGAAGGGTGGGGCCCTGATGGGGTGTGGCTTGAGCAGGGCCTAGATGTGGTGGGGCCTAGGTGGAGGCAGGCCTAATAGGTGTGGCCTGGACAAGGAGGGCAGGGTGCAGAGGGAGGTGTGCTTAGAGCCCGTCTGGGATGGGAGAAGGGGGTGGGTGGGGGCAGGCAGTGGAGGGAGAGGAAGAACTGACCCTGGGTTCTGTGGTGCTCTGGGGCTGAGCAGAGAGGTCTCCCCAGCCCCTGGGGCAGGGCCTGGAGGTCTCGGGCCCTGCAGGTGGCGTGGGGCAGGGCCCAGTGGGGAGGACTGTGACTGGTGGTTGGGACGGAGGAGCTGAGGGGAACCACATATGACAGCCTCACCCAGACACTGGCACCCCGCCACATGGGCCTCCCACCCGGGGCGCACAGTTCAGTGGTTGCCACATTCATAGGCTGCGTGGCTGTCACCACTCTCAAGCTCCAGCCCACTCTAGTCTCCATGGGCAATGGCTCCCGTCTATTCCTACCCGCAGGCCCTGTCCAAGCCACTGACCCCCTTCTGTCCTGGATTGGCCTGTTCTGGCATTTCCTGCCTGCGGCCATGCATATGTGTCCTTTGAGTCTGATCCTTCTGTGGGCACAAGGCCCTCAAGGCTCGCCCATGTGTGACCGGTGTCAACCTCGTGGCCAGTGTCAACCTCGTGACTGCATCACGGGCCCGTGAGTGTCTGCATCTCAGTCCATGTCCCTTCGCCTAGGGATGGACGTGTGGTTGTTTCCGTGTTGCACATGTCACAAACCATGCCGCTGTGGGTTTGTGTGGACATATGTCTTCACCCTTCTGGGTGTACGTAGCAGTGGACTGCCAGGCATCCGGTCCCGGGAAGAGCTGTTGGGCCATTCCCACCAGCGGGGCAGCTCCGGCTTCTGCCACCCTAGCACACACTGGTGCTGGTGTGTGGCTCTCACTCCACCTCCTGGTGGGCGTGCTGTGCTGTCTCAACCCGGCAACCTGCCTCTCCCCATGGCGGATGCTCTTGACAGAAGCATTTCCCAGTAGCTCTGGCCCACACACAGGAGAACCTTCTCCTCAACTTGCGATCTCAGGGTCCCTGAGCAGCCCAAGGATCCATAGGGCCATGGGGCTGTCAAGGTGTGCAGCACAGAGCTGCGAGTTCTCAACCCTGAGGCAGCGGGTGGAGGAATAGAGACCAACCATGCGCCATGAGGTCAAGCAGGCCTGGGGCACTGCCCACAACCCCGGGCCATGAGGTCCATATGGTCTGGAGTGGGATAGTGGGGAGGAGAAACAGCGGCTCTGGCCTCTGGGAGGGGGCTTGAAGTCAGCTGGCCCCTGGAGCTGGAGGACGTCTCCTCCCTGCCCACCCTGCCACACCCTGCAAGTCCCAGCAGGGCCTTCTGGGACCTACATCTTCCTTTGACCCTGGGGAAGGTGTTCTCTTGGCCCTGGAGTCCTCCCTGCCCTGAGGTCTCTGCATTAAACCACTCTCATACTTTCTACAAAATAAGAACCTGCAATCAAACCAAGGCCACCCCCACCATCTCCAGAGAAACCTGGAAGGGTCCCTGGGTGGGGAAGCCCCTGGTGACTCTGTAGTGGGCGTGGGGTCTGGCACCATGGCCTTCCCTCGGAGAGGCAGCTGGATTGCTTGCTGGCCTGTGCAACTGAGCTGGGGTCTGGGTGGGGTCTCTGCTCACAGGCCAAGGAAAGCTGCCCTGGGCTCTGGACTCCAGAGCTGCCAGTGTGGGGAGGAGTGGGGTGGTGTGGGGCGGAGCACGGCGAGGAGGGCAAGAGCCAGGGGCCACCATGGCCCTTGGGTCGCCTCTGGGCCCTCAGGGCTGGCACTGGAGCCCTGAGCGTGGCCCCGGGGTCCCTGCTTGTCCTGCTGAGGTCTGTGTGACACGGCTGTCCTCCACAGCAACAACTGCGAGCTGGACTCGGTGATCGTGTCGGTCATCAATGGCTTCACGTCGGTGTACGCAGCCACTGTCGTCTACTCCATCATCGGCTTCCGCGCCACCCAGCGCTACGATGACTGTTTCGGCACGTGAGTGGCCGTCGCGCCACCCGGCTGTTGCACTCCAGGCCGCACCCCCTGCCGGCCCCTGCCCGCCCAGGCCGGCGTCAGCCTCGCTCTCACCCACAGGAACATCCTGACGCTCATGAACGGCTTCGACCTGCCGGAAGGCAGCGTGACACAGGAGAACTTCACGCAGGTGCAGCAGCAGTGCAATGCCTCCGACCCCGCAGCCTATGCGCAGCTGGCCTTCCAGACCTGCGACCTCAACTCCTTCCTCTCGGAGGTAAGCCGGAGACTGGCCCTAGAGGCTGGAAGCAGAGGACGCCCGAGAAGGCACCAGGAGCAGGCCGCACCGTGGGGCTGTGCCGTCCGCCCCAGCCTCTGGCTGCCGAGGTCAGGGATGCTGAGCCCCCACGGGAAGGCTGAGCGGCCCCGGGCCAGGCCTTCAGCCTGCGGGATGGCGGTTCCATGGCCAGGACCGTTGACTGCCAGGACCTGGATGGGCCAGCAGCCAGATCTCGGCTGACAGTCTGGGGCAGGGCGTAGGGCAGAGGGTCAGCCCTGGGGCCTCCTGGTCATGTGCCTGATGCACCATGAGCCTGGGGATGCACACGGCCTGCTGAAACTGGGGCGCCTACAGGCTGTGTCCAGGTGACTCGCTCGAGGTCCCGTTCACATCAGCAAGCCACTCTGAATGGGGCAGCGCCTGTCCTGGTGTCTCTGGAAGCTTCCTGTGTGGGAGTCTGTCTGTGGGCCAGACGGACCCACCATAGTCGCGCGGGGCTCCGGCCGCCGCTGGGCGAGGGGTGTGCCTGCTGGTCCCACACACAGCTTGGCATTTGCGCACACTCTGGGCCAAGCCAAGGCCCAGCCAGCTCATCAGGGACTTGGGGCTGCCCAACTCTTGCCCCCGGCGGGCAGAGGGCCATCAGGGCAATGGGAGAACCCTGGGTCCCGTGGGCGGCTCAGGGTGGGGAGGCGGCCCCTGGCGGGCAGGAATGGCCCCGGCGACTGTGACCGTGGCCGCCGTGCAGGGCGTGGAGGGCACGGGCCTGGCCTTCATCGTGTTCACTGAGGCCATCACCAAGATGCCGGTGTCCCCGCTGTGGTCCGTGCTGTTCTTCATCATGCTCTTCTGCCTGGGCCTGTCGTCCATGTTCGGGAACATGGAGGGCGTCGTCGTGCCCCTGCAGGACCTCAAGATCATCCCCCCAAAGTGGCCTAAGGAGCTGCTCACAGGTGCGTGTGTGGCCAGGGAAAGTGCTGGCTCGGACTCCTCGGGGGCTCAGCCGGCTCTGGGTGCGCCCATGTGATGGGGGGTGAGGCTGTGTGATCGTGAGTGAGGGCTTGTGTCCATGGGTGAGGCCGTGTGACCCCCGTGTGGCCGTGTGACCACGGGTGAGCCCGTGTGACCACGGGTGAGCCTGTATGGCAGCAAGCGTGTCTGTGAGACCACAGATGTAGCCACGTGACTGCAGCATGGCTGTGTGACAGTGGACGAGGCTGGGTGGCCAAAAGTGTCACCATGTGACTTCGGGCACCACTGTGTGACCATGGTGTGGCCGTGTGACCGAGGCATGGACGTGTGACCGCGACGTGGCCGTGTGACCCTGGCTGTGGCCCGCCCGCAGGCCTCATCTGCCTGGGCATGTTCCTGGTGGCCTTCATCTTCACGCTGAAGTCCGGCCAGTACTGGCTCTCCCTGCTGGACAGCTACGCCGGCTCCATCCCGCTGCTCATCATTGCCTTCTGTGAGATGGTTGCCGTGGTCTACGTATACGGCGTGGATAGGTAGGGGCCTGGTGGTGACAGGGCGTCCCTAACGCTGAAAATCGAGTCAGGGATCCCGCCAGGGATGAGGGGGGCACAGAGGGAGAGGCTGTGACTCGGGGCTCCGCCGGCCATGGGAGCTGTGTGTGGACCTGCCCTGATGCACTGGCCCGGCACCCGGATAGAAGGGGGGTGATTCTGAACCTGGGGCTGCCGCCAGGCAGAGGCTGTGCTGTGACTCCCACCGTGTCCTAGATGCCGGCCAGGCGCCATCCACACCGTACCCCCTTGTGTTCAGACACGTCCACCTCTAACCATAGGAAGGGAGGCATCAGTGGCGTGTTGGGACACCACGTAGAGCACTGGGGGGTGGGAGAGAGAGAGCGCAGCGCCCACATGACACGTGGAGCCCACACGCGCCACAGTACAGCCATGCGCGAGAGTGCCCTTGCCACCGCAGAGACCTGGGACTGGAGTAGGGAGGGGGCGGGCTGGTGCCGAGGTAGGCCAGTAAAGCGGACACCACCAGCTCTGGGAGGTGCCCAGGCTCGGGTGGGTGCCCTGCAGGCCCTGGCACAGGCAGGAAAACCAAGGCTGGCCAGGGCGGAGGACAGGGAAGGGGCGTCACCCAGGGTGACAGGAGCCTCGTGCTGCTGGGCCCGGTCGCCAGGGTCAGGAGCGGAGTGTCCCACAGTCTCAGTGCCACATCAGGGGCACCTGCTGTGTGTGTGTGTGTGTGAGTGTGTGTGTGTGCGTGCACACACATGTGCACACATGTCTGTATAACAAAAACTTTTTTAAAAAGAGAAGGAACCTGACGGTGCCAATTAAAACTGAGAGCCCACAAGCCTCCTCAGGGCCCTCTGGGAAACCGCTCTGAATGAGGCAGCAAGTGCGTGTGGGGCAAGTGGCTGGGACACGCCTCAGCACAACAGCCTGGGACAGCCACAGGAAGGTGAAGGACATGGGGCTGGGGGCCATGCTGTTGTGACACTCGCAGACAGGGACAGGGAGATTCAGGCCCAAGCCCACGGGTCTAGCTGCCGGCCAGCCCATGCGGCCATGAGGTTTGCACCTGAGGGTTGCTGTGAATGGCCAGGAGGCTTGCTTCTCGAGGTACAGCCTATGTGATGTCCCAGGGCCAGCCTGGGGGTCCCATGGTCTGCTTGGGCCACTGGAGGCCCAGGGCGGCTCAGGCCTGCCCACCGTGAGCCTCTCCTGCTTCTTGCAACAAGGAGCTCCTTGCAGGAGAGGGTTCTGCAGAGGAGGGGCTTCGTGGAGGGTGGGTGGTGGCAACTGTGTGACCCGGGGGTGGCCAGGGAAGAAGGCTGTGGTTGCGTGCCAGCTCCTCTCCTCCTCTTCTTATTCCAATCAGTGGTTGCCCTCAATGCCAGTGAGGATGGGCTCCCTGACAAGGAACTGTAGGGCTGGTCCGAGCCGGTGGTGCCCTCGGAGGGGCTTCCTGGGGAGCCGCCCGGCCTTGGGCCTCCGTGAGGGAGGCCAGGGTGCTGCCCGGCACAGCGCTGTGAGCCCGGGTGGCAGAAAGCCTGGGCCGGTCCTGGCTGTATGAGGTCGCAGTCCTGGCGGAGGCGGGTGACAGGCCCCTCTGGCCTTGCTCCAGGTTCAACAAGGACATCGAGTTCATGGTCGGCCACAAGCCCAACATCTTCTGGCAAGTCACGTGGCGCGTGGTCAGCCCGCTGCTCATGCTGGTCATCTTCTTCTTCTTCTTCGTTGTTGAGGTCAGGAAGGAGATGACCTACAGCGTCTGGGACCCCGGCTATGTGAGTACGCGGGCACCGCGGGAGGCGTCGCACAGGGGTTCCTGGGGACCTGCGGGCCCCTGTGTCCGTTCACCACTGCCCTCTCCCCAGGAGGCGTTTCCCAAGGCCCAGAAGGTCTCGTACCCAGGCTGGGCGTATGCGGTGGTGGTGATTGTGGCCGGGGTGCCCTGCCTCACCATCCCGGGGATTGCCATCTACCAGCTGCTCCGGAGACGCTGCCGGAGGCCGGGGGACCGCCAGGGGCTAGTCGGCACACAGTCCATGGCCTCCGTGAATGGAGACCTGAAGTACTGAGCGGCCAGGCATGATGCTGCGGACGGGCGTCGGAGGAGGGACCCATGAGGCCCTGGGGGTGGTGGCTGGGCTGCACGTGTGTGTGGGAGGGTACATTCATGTACATGTGTGTCTGATGTGTATGTGAGTGTGCAGCGTGGGGGTGTGTATTGTGTTGTGTGCATGCATGTATATGTGTATGAGCACATGTGTGTGTAAGCACATATATGTGTGGTTAGTGTGTTGTACATGCGAGTATGCATGTATGTATACGTGTGTCTGCGTATGCATATGTGTATGCCTGTGTGTACAACTATGTATGCGTGTATGTATGTGTTTGTGTGCATGAGTGTACACGCATGCATTCACATGTCTTTGCACATACGTATATATGCATGTGTGCGCCTGTGTGAGTCCATGCAAATGTGTGTATATGTGTTGTCCATATGCATGTGTGCATGTCTGTGTGTGCAAGTGTGTATTTGTGTTGTGTGTGAGTGCATGCATACGTGCATGTGTCTCTGCACATATGCGCATGTGTGTATGTCTGTGTATGTGTATGCAAATATATGTTGCACATGCACATGTATGGATGCATGCATGTGTACGTGTATGTGTGTTGTGTGTGTGCAAGCATTTATGTATGCATGTGTGCACATTTTGTGTATGCAGGTGTGTATGCATTGTGTATGTAAGCATGTCTGTGTGTGCATGTGTATGTGTACATGTATGAGTGTGTATACATGTGTGCTCTGCATGTGTGTGCATGCATGTATGTGTGCGTGTTTGTGTGTGCATGCAAGTGTATGCATTTGTGAATGGAATGTATATGTAAGCATATGTGTACATGTATTGAGTGAAGTTGTGTGTATGCACATGTGTATACATGTGTATACATGTGTATATGTGTGCTTACTTGTGTGCTCAGGCGTGTATTTGTGCAGACATGAGTGCCTGTGTGTGCCTGTATGCCTGTGTGTACATATATGCACATGGGTGAATATGTGTGCAGACATGTTTGTGACATATGCCCACTACTCAGGGCCCAGTTACCCTCTGTGCCTGTCCTCATCATGGATGTGCCAGGCATGTACTGAGGCCCCGAAGCAGACCTGCTGGGGACTTTCCATGTCCTGCACATGCCATGAGAATCCAGAGCCACAGTGTGGAGAGGAAGGCCTACTGCGTGTCCTCTGCCATGGTGGCTGGAGACATGCGCATGTGTCACTATCTTGGCTCTGGGATCGACTCTCACTGCCCACCCCTGTCCCTTCCCCTTGCTGCTGACCCTTGACCCAGGGGCTCCCAGTGGGAGGTCCAGGCCCTATTGCCCTCAGCCAGGAGCAGCATGGGTGACTGCCAATGAGAAGACTTGGCCATGTCCCCTGTCTGTCCGTGTCCCGGCCCGTCCGGTTTAATCAATGCCGGCCATTTAATCATTGCTTCTGCCACCATGAACAGACAAGCAGTTAATAAAACTCAGCTTGGCATCACAGACGGCAGAAACCGTGTGAATTTTTAGCCAGATGTTGGAGAAGACAGTTACAGGGTAACTCGACCTTGGCCACCTCCCTGGAGGACGCTCTGTGGCGCCTTCAGGACCCTGGAACCCAGAAGCCCCAGCCCTGGTGTCCCCTCCCCCATCACAGAGTCACCTCTCCTTTCCATGGAAAACTCTGGAAGTTTAAGTTACACTGGACGTCCTGCCCAGTGTCACAGGCAGGACCGAAGGATTCTGATGGGTCCTCTCACAAGGAGACACCGGCCACAGTCCTCAGCACCTCCATCCGGTGATGACTGCAGGCCTCGGCCCTCAGGCTGTGATTCTGGGCCCCTGCGGGCACAGCAAGCAAGGCCGAGGGTCCCTCCCGTGGCAGTCTCGGCAGCCCCCTCATCTCTTCCTGACATGTTCTGGCTCCCAGTTGGGAAAATCCTGATCAATTCCTCGTCCGTACGCTGGCCTGTGTTGTCTATCCAGGGAGGCCTCGACAGGTGCCCATGGGGACCTGGGCAGTTGTCTGCCATCTTGCCTCCCGGTTGAAGATTGGGCATCTCTGTGAACGTGATGGACATGCAGCTCTGTGGCATATATCACACCTGTGCCAATAAACCGCTCCTGTCAACAGCCTCAGCCTGAAGTTGCTGTGTAGATGTGGGAGGAGCGGGTGGCGGGGACCTTCCACACGGCGGCTGCAGGGTGTCTCTGGGAAGGCTGAACATGGCCTCATCTCTGCTCTCACCTTAGCCTCTCTTGCTCTCCCTCACTCTCCCTCTCCCCCAGATGAGGCGTGTAAAACGTGCCCACTGGGGCTCACACTTCTGGGACTCACACATCTGGAATGTGGCCACTGGAGGAGACGGAGAATGACAGGCCTGGGGCCCTCAACCTGTCCCTGGGGAGGCATCTGGAGGGAGGGATCCCAGAACCGCCCGTCATAGGGGGGTCTGCCACTCGCTACCTCCCCCCATGGGCAGGGGTGCCCCAAGCTATCATGAAGACTCGCCCAGCCCCGCCCTGCATAAGGGTGTCTGCCACCCTTCCTGTTGTTTGCCCCAGTGGATGGGAGGGTGGGAGGGAAGCCCCCGCCTCCCGAAGGCTGCCCGGGCCAAGAGAAGGCTGAGCTCTCATCCACGGTGGACGTGGGCACACACCTGAGGAAGTTCCTGGGTGCTGGTGGGCTGAAGCAGGTGCAGCCCCTGGGGGGGTCTTCTGGACAATTTTGGAAGGGGGGCACACAGAACCAGCCGGAAAGTTCAAGTTCATGTTCATACTCTTTGTGAAGTTTAAGATTCTCCCTAAAAATGCAACCACATGGGCCGGGCAGTCTCACTCCAGGGCATGCATCCCAGAGACACCAAATCCACGTCCACATGAGAGTCCGGGCGCAGGTCTCACGGCTGCATGGCCCCAACAACTAAACCCAGGTCATGGTCGGCTGGTTGTTGGCACCCGTAGCCCTCATGGGACACAGCTCAGCAACCCAACACGGGCTGTCACACATGTGGCTGCCTGGACCCGTGTGGACCACAGGAACGCCACCAAAGACCACTCAGAGCCTTTGGGAACAAGGAAACCGTATTGATGGGAGCAGATCGGTGGGCACAGCAGGGGAGAAGGAGGCCCCGCTGATGACTGTTCTGGTCTCCAGGAGTCAAGGTCCACGCCCCTGCTGGGAGGCCATCCTGAGCCTGTCGAGATGCCACCCTAGTGGGAAATGGCGTGAGGGGTCACGGGCTCTTGTTTGTGCTGTTTCCTACAAGGAGGTGTGGACGCTGGGGGAGTGCGGACAATTATCTCAAGATCCCAGGTTAAATCAAATGTAAGTAATTTTTAAAAACCCGAAATGTGCCAGTCATGGAGTCTTGGGCCCCCGACAGGAGCTCAGGCTGCCCTGGGAACAGTCCTCATGCCACCGGCGGCGCTAGTCGTTTGCAGGGACACAGAGGAGAGGTGGGGGATGCGGGTGTGGGGCACGGGCACCTGTGGGTTAGGCATTAACAGGGTTCTGGGCTCACCTCTAAATACCCGCAGTAGATGCAGAAGGAGGCAACTTCCGCAGCGGCTGGAGGGGCTCTCGGAGCTGAGTGTGGAGCGTGGCCCCTGTGCCTGGGGGACGCAGACGGCATGGCGGGTGCCCCGGGGGACGAGAGGCCCCGCTGGGACAACAAGCTGCAGTACTTTCTGAGCTGCCTGGGCTTTGCTGTGGGGCTGGGGAACGTCTGGCGCTTCCCCTACCTATGCCAGACCCACGGGGGAGGTAAGGTGACTGGCCCGGTGGGGAGGGGCTCGAACCTGCCTGGGAAGAGCCCCGTCCTCCTGAGGCCCCGCGGTGGCCATCAGGGACCTCAGAGTGCACTCAGCTGTGCCGCTCCCCACATGTGGGGGCTCTGGAATCCCACATGTCAGCATCCCTGTACGGACATGCCGCCTGCAGTGGTGTCCTCGTCAAGGCCTCCATGACCAGGTGCGGGTTCCCCCAGGCCGTCTGTCCTGGGTCTTTGCATGAGGTCAGGCTCACTGCTGGCTCCCCTGGTTTTGCCAACAAGGATGTCCTGAGGCAGTGTCCGGGTCATTCTCTTGAGAGTCAGCTCACCTCCCACAAAGTGCGTCAGTAGCTGAACTGACCTATGGAGCCACCTCTCACCCCTCATGCCTGCCTCTCCCCCGTGGCCGCAGAGCCACAGGCCACACTACAGGCTCCATGTGGGATGCGGGGGTGGGGGGGACAAGTTTGTGAGTCGCAGCCCGCGGGAGTCACTTGGGACGCGCTGGTTCCTCCCTGGATGTGACCAGCAGGACCTTCCAGGGGCTGTCAGGTTCCTCCTGGGCCGGGGCTGCTGATCAATGAGCCCTGGGGGTCCGAGGACTCCAAGAGCCCCCCACAACTGTCCCCCAGCTTTGTCTTGTCTCTGACTTGTCACAGAAGACGTCTCTCACGTTGGGAATGTGGGGTGTCTCCTTGGGATGGTTACTTTGGCCTTACAGGATGCAGGGTGGGAGTAGAAACATCAGGAGGGGCCAGTCACCCCTGGTCATGATGCAGCCCCTTCAGGAGTAATGGGGAGGCAGGGGGATTTGTGATGCCTGGCATTGGCCCAACTGGTGTTGGGCCAACACTGCTGACAAGACAGAAGCACTATCTGATGCCATTTTCCATTTAAGGACACCACAGCTTCAAAGTTTTATTTTATTTTATTTTTCTGTTTAAAAAAAGATTCTCAGCTGGGCAGCAGCTCATGCCTATAATCCCAGCATTTTGGGAGGCTGGGGCAGGAGGATTGCTTGCGGTCAGGAGTTCAAGACCAGCTTGGCCAACATAGTGAGGCTCCAACTCTTCAAAAAATGTAATAATTAGTTGGGCGTGCTGGCACACACCTGTAGTCCCAGCTACTTGGGAGGTCAGGGTGGGAGGACCGCTTGAGCCCAGGAAGTTGAGGCTGCAGCAAGCCATGGTCATGCCACTGCCCACCAGTCCGGGAGACAGAGCAAGACTCCTGTCTCTAAAGGAAAACAAAGATTCTGGTCGGGAAAAAATGTTGGAGAAGCAGACAGTGGAAAGAAGAAAGAGAGCCACCGTGACAGCTGCCTGGGCACCGAACACTGTGGGGCCTGGGTGGGATGGGCACCTTGGGCCGAGTCCCCTCCAGCACTCCTAAAAGCCAGGAACCCTGGGTGGAGGGAAGAGGCCCACGGCTCCTGGGCCCCCTGCTGCCTCGGCCACACCTCTTTCCACACCGCGTCACCCAAGTGCCTGTGAGGGGAGTGACCTCACACAGCGCCAGAGAGGTGGGTGTTGTGGGCCAAAGCATCCGTGAATGTCTTGCTGGCCGTGACTATCCCAGCACCCACAGTGGGCCAGGGGGCGTCAGGCACCGGCCTCTCCAGGCCTCAGCACCTGTAGGTGGTATGGCTGGTCCACCCCTTGAGGGGAGGCTGGCCAAGGAGACTGGCCACAGTGGGTTGTGGGTCCCCACCTGGGGACAACTGGGTACAGAGAACAACCTCTGAGGTGCCCGTGTGTGCAGGGGCCTCATGGGGTCCCTTTCCGGGTGTGGAATTGCAGGTCTGCTGTCATGGACCTGTAAGGTGCCGCTCAAGTTCCTCCCACATGGTGCTGACAGGCACCCTCACCCCCCCACGAGATGCCCTTTATGACCGCCCTCTGATGACCACAGGTATCAGCGAGACACAGTGACTGTGTGGCATTTGGCTTGCAGAAACCAGTGACTCCCAAAGGCAAGCGTATGCGCTCCCCCTTTCCATAGTTGGTCAGCTGTGTACATTTTTTCTACACAGACAAGACATGGGTGCAATGTCGTAACAGGACGTAGCAAGACATTTAGGCCAAGATTCACAGAGATCTTACCTGTGAGTGGCGTTTCATGGTGACTCACTGTTAAAAATTGAAGGCGTATCAGGCAGCCCCTTGTGCCCGTGTGCGTGGCACAGCCTCTCTCCCAGAACTGGCGTCTGTCTGGCGGGCCCTGCTGCGTTCCTCATTGTGGCTCTCAGTAAACCCTGATGCCTGGGAGGGCAGGTCCCTCGACTTTCCTGCAGAGCTGCACCATCAGTGGCTGCATACCAGAAAAGATGTACACCTGCCTCCTGCTGACTGTGTCCATTTGGGAAAGAGGTCCACCGTCACAGCCTTGCCCTACCGCCCGAGAGATGGTATAGTGGCAGGCGTGGGCCAGGGCCTGGAACACTCGCACACCTACAGCATATCTGGTCTCATGCTGGCCCTCAGGCGGTTCTCTCCGCGGGGACCTTGCATGTCTTGCGGGGCTGGTTCTCCACAGCCCCTCCTCTGCCGCTGTCCTGGGCGGAGCCGGCCCCTCCTCCATGGCCTGGTCCTAGCTTCATGGCCTGCGCCTCGGTGCGACCATGAGCCGGTTCTCCAGGACCACCCCGTGCACGGCTGTAAACCGCAGGAGCAGCTTACGGCTGCCAAGCTGCCTCCAGCAGATGGACCACATGTCCTTGGGCCGTGGGTGCTCACAGCATGATTGTAGGCACAGGAGCCATGTGGCCTTCGCAACAGGCAGGGTGGATCTTCTCCTGTCTCCACACGCAGCACCGATGCACGCGCTCACCGCTGCCCTGAGCATTCCATGTGCAGGGAGCCCATCGGGACCCTCGGACTGGACACTCGTGGCCCATGGAGCCGCCACCCCCGTCACAATCCATGGGGGGTTTGTTATCTGCACATGTGTCCACGTGGAAGTCGTGTGAAGCTTAAGATGCCCGTGTGCCACCGCCATCTTGTCTCACGGAGACCCTGCTGAGCTGCCCAACTCTCTCCTTCCAACAGCGGTGCAACTGACTGACGGCCACAGAGACCCCGCCCCCCCACTACCTTCCCTCTGATGACCTCATCGGGTTTGTCCTGCCATACGGACCTGTCTGTGCCACTAGATCCCAGCCCAGGCTCACCCCAGTCTCGTCCAGCTGTGCCCCTCCTCACAGAGCAGGGGTTAGAGTGCCCGGGTGGTGGCCTGGAGCCTGCAGCCCTCGCTGGATGGTGGAGCGCACAGCTGGGACCCAGAGGCCCTGCCAATGGCCCGGGGCCCACGCCGCCCAGAGTCCTGGTCTGTCCTCTCCACCAGCAGGCGTGTGTGCCTGAGGCCTAAGGGTGGCCACGGAGCCGCTGCTGTGGGGAAGTGCGCAGAGCCAAGATACATGGTTGGGCGGTCCCCACACCTGCCACGGATCCCTCGTGCAGGCAGAGCTGGGTGGGCAGGGCCAGGCGTGAGTGGGCTCCCCCTTGCACCAGACCCTGGCAGACATGGCAATTCCTCCCAGGAGCTCCCTGGGTCTATTCATGATGGTGGGCTCCAGGCCCGGCCCCACTGCCCCACCCCAGGAATGTCTCGGGTGTCCCTCTGGCTGAACCCCTGGATGCTCCTTGGTGCTTGTTGGCCTTTCCCCGCTCTCTAGATGACGCCCCGAGGACCCTTTTGCCCAGTGTTGCCTCTGGAGGCCTGTGCAGAAGCCAGCGGACTCAGGTTCAGGGGCCTCCTGCCTCCCTAGGGCCCTCTCATTAATGTGTCAGTGACTGGACGTCCGAAAGTGACACAGTAAACCAGAGGGGGCTGCGTCAACAAACTGCAGGAAAAGCCAGGGATGGGGAAGCGCACTCTCGAGCCAGACCCTGCTTGGTAAAGCAGAGCTGATGGGAGACACAGGGACGTGGATGCGCCGTGGCCCTGCTGGCTGTGTCGGCCCGTGTCTGGTCACAGGCCTGAAGTCAGTACCACCCATAATCTGAGTCTGTGTGGGCGGGGCTGGAGCCAACCTGGGCTCCCTGGCGGAGATACAGAGACCCCGCCTCACCTGTGGTTTGCAATTTACCCGAGGGAGGATGCGACTGCCTGCCCCACTGCCGACTGGGAGGTCTAGTCACGAGCCACATGGCCTCCTCTAGCACCGAGACAGCGGTGGGGCCACTGGCCTGGGATGTAGCCTCTGCACCTCTGCACAGCAGGGCTCGTGGCACAAGATGGACTTGGCCCAGGCCCTCAACAGAGATGGCAGTACCATGTCTACTCTGTCCGCTGGGGGTGCTGGTACAGGGGGCTGGGCCCAGGTTCTCGCTGCCTCCCGTGGCCCCAGGGGCTTGAGTCAGGTGTTCCCCCTCCCAGGAGCCGTGGGGCCCTCGTGCTGCCATGTGACAGGTGTCCCCCTCACAGCGCCAGATGTGGGTGCAGAGGCCAGGATGCCAGAAGGGCCCAGGAGGGGTCTCAGCCCTGACTAGGCTCCAGGGCCTTGGAGGTGAAGCTGGGATGGTCTGTGATGATGTCATCTTTCTGCGACACCCCAGGAACAGAGACATGTCTGAATCCCAGGAGAGTTGTGGGCAGGTGCCCTGGAGGCCTTATAAACATACCAGCCCATGTCCTGGGCCCCATGGACAGAGTAGCCCTTTGGGGGTCTTGGGTCCTACAGACAGAGCAGCCCATCGGGGGTCCCAGGGCCTATGAACAGAGCAGCCCATCAGGGGTCCTGGCTTCTATGGACAGAGCAGCCCATCAGGGGTCCCAAGCCCTATGGACGCAGCAGCCCATTGGGGGTCTTGGGCCCTGTGGACAAAACAGCCCATCTGCTACACGAAGCTCCCCAGAGGCCTTGCAAGCAGCTGTGGTGGGTGATTTAACACACACGCCAGCCAGATCCTTTCCAGGAAACAAGGGTGGAAAGCAACATGCTTGGTCAATGCTTTTTATTTCTGCAAATCCAAAACTTTCAGGAGAATCACACTAATGAAAGGCACTATTTCCTGGCGGGGGGTGGCCGTATCTGGAGGCTTTGGGTGACACCCCGTCAAGCCCTCTCTGCCGTCCTTCCCGCAGAGACAGGGTTCTGACTGCTGGGCATGAAGGCCCTGAGAGGCATCAACCAGGGCCTCAACACTAACCTCCCTCAGCAAACTCTGACGATAAGGGGACTGTGCTCAGATCCCACGTCCCAGCCAGGGCCCAGCTGCCTCCTTTTAGGCCCTCCTGTCCCTCCAGACCCAGCCAGTGGCCTTGTGTCTGCCCCACCTGGCCAGTGGTCACCCTAGGTAAGCCAAAATCAGAATTGGGTCCAGCAACCAGGCAGTGCTGGAGGGGGTCTCCACCACCCAGGGGTGTCTCCACTGTCCAAGGGTGTCTCTGCCGCCCAGGGGCGTCCCCAGCATCCGGGTCCCGCCTGTCCTCTGCAGAGGACACGGGTGGCGCCTCTAGGCCACGCCGCCAGCCCCAGCCCTTGCCCGGTGAGCACTGACCCTGTGTCATTGCAGGCGCCTTCCTCATCCCCTACCTGGTGGCTCTGGTCTTCGAGGGCATCCCCCTGTTCCACATTGAGCTCGCCATTGGCCAGCGGCTGCGGAAGGGCAGCATCGGGGTGTGGACGACCATCTCCCCCTACCTTGGCGGAGTAGGTAAGTGTGTCCTCCCACGCAGGGCCGTGGTTGCTGAGGCGGGCCTCCGGGTGAGGGCGGAGGAACATGGGTTCACTCCGTGGTGGGATGTGGCCAGTAGGCGGTCAGGGCACCCTCGGGTGTGGATTCAGGGAGAGTCAGAAATGGAGCATGTGTGCGGAAGGACGTTTTGGGGGCCACAGAGGCTACCAGTTCCCACTGAAGGGAGGCCTGGGCTTTCCCTGGGCCTGGTCATGGGGGGTCCTGGCAGGTCCTGGTGGGCTGGGCAGGCTGGCGGGTGCTGACGCTTCCGTCCACAGGGCTGGGCTGCTTTACCGTGTCCTTCCTGGTCAGCCTGTACTACAACACCATCCTCGCATGGGTGCTGTGGTATCTCCTCAACTCCTTCCAGCACCCGCTGCCCTGGAGCTCCTGCCCACTGGACAGCAACAGCACAGGTGAGCTGCAGCCAACAGGTGTTGTGCAGGTGTTCCCACGGCAGCACATGGGTGGGCGCCGTTCTCTGGAGGAGGGCAGGGTGCAGCTGCCACTCTTCCCTGGGGAGCACGAGGGTGAGGGTCTCCTGGCCTGTACCACCGACCTGTGCCTCCTTTTGGGCTCCCGGGCCAGCTCTCAGGAAGCTGCAGGCACTGTGGCTTTGTGGTGCGGCCACAGGATTGCTGTCTCGCGGAACTGAAGTCTTGGCCCCAGCCGCCCCAGGCGACCGTCTGGGGAGACCTTCTGGCCGTGACAACACGTGTGCTTGCCACGCTCACTCAGGAGCTGCCTGATGCTCACTTCCCACCTCTAACAGGCAGGAAGCTGCCCTGGGCGGGTGCTGAGCAAAGGCAGCCCTGGGGTCCGAACAGTGAGCTGCACTGGATGTCCTCACAGTCCAAGAGCTGGGTGTCCTGGGAGGCTGAGGGCCCTGGCCACAGGGCTGGGCTTCCTGGTCCATTGCTAGGAGGGTGGGGCTGTCCCACCCAGTGACCCGGCCATGCTCCCGACCGCAGTTCCAGGAGGTGCTGTCCCTAGTTCCTGGGAGATGGCTGTGTGTCCCGAGTCCCTTCCACCTTGTCCAAGGGCTTGCTTTAGCCGACCCCTCCCTTCAGGCAGGATCAGAGGTCCCGAGGGGTCAAGTTCGCACTCTACACACGGCGGAGCCCACGACTGATCCCCCACATCTGAGGGGAGATTTCCAAGAAAGGTGCCCGGACAATCTGGCTGCACCTGTGCCCTTCCCTCAGCCGTGGGCTCGGCATGAGTGGGTGGTGTCCACTCAGGGCCGGCTGTGCTGCTGTGGGGTCAGTGGCACCAAAGGACAGTTGCAGGGAGAGGCCCCATAACACGGGGCACACGTGGTCCTGAGGCTTTTCTAGAAGGGGCCCCCTGTTCCCGACCAGGGGTCTAGGGAGGTGCTGTAGGCATTTGCTGCTGTCAAGCGCTGTCTGTGTCTCCCTGCGTCAACCTGTGATCTTGGCAAGGAGGGAGTGGACGTCGCAGGGCAGTTTGCTGCCTGCCACAGCCTCGCTGTCCTTCCAAGTGCCAGATACCTGCACATTTGGCCTCACAGCTGTACTCTGCCACCCCCAGGAGTCTTGGGTGGTGGGTGGTGGAGGGAGCGACGGGGTCCGAGGCAGCAGTGATGTCCGAGAGGCTGTGGCCACACAGGGTTTGGCAGGTTTCATGAGCCTGGACAGGGTGGAGCCTCCCTGCAAGGTCTGTGTGCGGTTTCTCCATCTCAGCCTCAGGCCTAAAGAGAAGTGAGAACAGAGAGCCCAGCCCGGAAGGGCAGCGGGGGCTAGCCTGGGTGGCCAGGCTCAGGAGCGGATGCGGTGAAGGGCGCCCAAGACCGCGGTCAGCCTGACAAGCCCCCATTCCAGGGTTCTTGGAGGAGTGCCAGGCCAGCAGTGCCGTCAGCTACTTCTGGTACCGACAGACACTGAACATCTCGGCTGACATCCACGACAGTGGCACCATCCAGTGGCGAATACTCATCTGCTTGGCTGCTTGCTGGGCGGTCGTGTACCTGTGTGTCATCAGAGGCATCGAGACCACTGGGAAGGTGAGCACAGCAGCTGGCCCCCGCCTCCCCCAGCCCCAGGGACCCACACCCCCTGTCTGCAAGCTCTGTTATGAGGGGAATAAGCCTTGAGGACTGCCGTGGCTCCTTAGGGGACTGAGACTTTCACCCTGCGAAGGGACCTTTTTATCCTGGTGACAGTCCCTGTGTTAACACAGTCATTCCTGCTTCCTTGATTCCATTACGGGTATTTTTCTTCCACCCTTTTTCTTTTAGCCTCCTTGAGTCTTGATGTGGAATGTGTGTTTCTTGTAGACAGCCTACAACTGGGTCTTGCTTTTTATCCAGTCCAACAGCCTCTGCCTTCTATTTGGCGTGTTTGGACCATTTATGTTTAATGTGATTACTGACATTTTGGGTTAAGCACTGTCATTAGACATTTCAGTTTGCCCCCTGTTCTCTGCTCCTGCTTCCCTATTTCTATGATTCCACTCAATCTCTGGTCAGTTTACTAGCTTTAACTGTCTAGTGGGTCTAGCAGTTGGCTTGAGAGTGCAGCACTGGTTTACCTTGTCTGGGTCTGTCATTGAGTGATCTTGTGCCACTTATTATTATTATTATTTTTTTGAGTTGGAGTCTCACTCTATAGCCCAGACTGGAGTGCAGTGGCATGCTCCCGGCTACCGCAACCTTGACCTGCTGGACTCCAGTGACCCTTCCACCTCAGCCTTCCAAGTAGCTGGAGCTACAGGCGCATGCTACCATGCCTGGCTAGTTTTTGCTTTATTGTAGAGATGAGGTCTCGCCAAGTTGCCCGGGTGGGTCTCAAACCCATGGGATCAGGCAATCTACTCACCTCGGCCTCTCAAAGTGCTAGGATTACAGGCTGAGCCACCGAGCCCAGCCTTATGCCACTTATTGTGTTGTTTAAGAATCTCATTGCATGTTACTTCTAGTTTTCCCGCTCAAGCTTTGTGGCGTTGTAATATATTTTACCTATTTTTTTTTTGAGTCAGAGTCTCACTTTTTTGCCCAGGTGGGAGGGCGGGGGCATACTCATGGCTACCACAGCCTCAAGTTGCTGGGCTTAGGTGATCCTTCTGCCTCAGGCTTCCAAGTAACTGGAACTACAGGCACACACCACCTCATCTGGCTAATTTTTCTTGATTTATTGTAGAGATGAGGTCTCATCAAGTTACCCAGGCTGGTCTCAAACCCCTGGGCTCAGGCAATCCTCTCGCCTCAGCCTCCTACACTGCTTGGATTACAGGTTTGAGCCACCATGCCCGGCTATTTTATTTTATTTTTTAGTTGGAGGTCTCACTCTGTTGCCCAGGTTGGAGTGCAGTGGCATGATCATGGCTCATCACAGCCTTGACCTCTTGAGTTCAAATGATCCTCCCATTTTGGCCTCCAGAGTAGCTGGGACTACAGGCATGTGCCATCCTGCCTGGCTGATTTTTAAATTTTCTGTAGAGACTAGATCTTGCTATGCTGCCCAGGCTGGTCTCAAACTCCTGGACTCATGTGAGCCTCCCATCTCAGCCTCCCAGAGTGCTGGGATTACAGGCATAAGCCATTGTACCTGGTCTTATTGTACTTGGAATGTTATAAGCAACTGTATGTTGTTATCAGTTTGGTTTTAAAGTGGTGGTTGCCTTTTGAAGAAACCTAAATAACGAGAAAAACCACTGACACCCATCCATGTGGCTTCCGTTAGGGGTGTCCGGAAGGCCCACCAGAGTCTGAGCCTCCCAAGAGGGTCCTCCCGCTCCTCACAGGGGGTCACGGAGTCTGGACTGCACACACACAGATGTTTATTTGTGACGGCCCTCAGTCCACGCACCCTGGGCCTTGCCCTCCAACCGCTGGTCCTCCCAGTTAGTGTGCAAAGTTGTCCTCTCCACGCTTGAGAGGACTGTGGTCACTGAGTCAGACCAAGCAGCCAGCAGGCCCAACGAGCTGGCCAGAGATTCCAAATAACCCTATCACGAAAGCCTTAAAAGCTGGTCTGTGCTGGGGACCTGAGGAGCAGTGAGGGGCAAGTGTCCATTCACCGGTTTCTTTCCACGTGGATGCTCAGCCTACAGACCCTACCCATGCCTGGGAGCACTGGAGACCAGCTCCACCTAGGGAGGAAGGGTCCAGGCAGGCGTGGCCAGCTGGAGGCACAGCACAGGCTGAGGGCGAACAGGAAGGAGGGGGCTGGAGCGGGGAAGGGACATGGGGTCAGAAACGAGGGTGCCCAGAAAAAGGGGGGAGAGGTGAGAGTTGCTGGAAAGGGGGAGACCCTGAGGGGCACATCCCAGGACTCCCTCCAGCATCCAGCCCTGTCCCGAAGGAGGCCTTCCTCTCTCAGGTGGCTGACGCCCAGCTTAGCTGACCCACAGGCACACATGTGAGAGTGAGTGTGTGTGACTGTCCATGGTGGCCCCGAACCCTCCACACTGGCCCTGCTGGACCCAACCTGCCATGGTCAACCCGATGGGTGACGTTGATACTGACCCTGAGGCATGGGCACGCCTGCCTCTCGGAGCGTGTCAGCAGGCAGGTGTCGCGTCACATCCAATGCTTGGTCTTTCCCAAGGCCATTTACTTCACAGCCTCGTTTCCCTACCTGGTCCTGACGGTCTTCCTCATTCGAGGACTGACCCTGCCCGGTGCGACGGAAGGGCTGACTTACCTGTTCACTCCCAAAGTAAGTGGCTTGGGCAGCCCTCAGCTCCCTGTCCAAGGCCTCCAGCAAGCACTCGCGTGGGGCCCGGTGGAGTGAGCGGCAGGGAGCCATGTGGTGGTGGCTGGGTTGTCCAGTGGTCAGTGGCAAGACTGGCCTCGGGGGTCTCAGGAAGTGGAGATTGATAGGACATTGCGAGAGGCTGGCTGCAACCAGCTGTCACTCCCTGCCAGTGCCAGTCCCACCCTTGACCCCATACCGCCAGGGGCCTTGTCCTGTGCACACACCCCACCCAGGAGCCACAGGACCCAGGGCCTGCCCGGGGGTCTGCACCCTTTTAGAGCATTCCTCACAGCATCCCGCGGGAGTCTCAGGGCGGGGAGAGGCTGGGCCCCGCTGCCACATGTCCACCAGAGACCTTGCAGGGGCTGGGGAGGCTTGGGATTTGCCAGGTCCCCTCAGCAGCAGAAACCCATGTACAGATGAGGCCCACCCTAGGGCCCTCACGCCCCCCAGAACCACCGGCTGACAGCAGAGAACATGCCCAAGCCGGAGTCAGCACAGATGGCTCCGGCCCCTTCCCCCACAGAACCACGGCCATCAGCCGCCTGCCAAGCAGGGAGTGGCATTCGAGGGTCTGTCTCCACTCCAGGCCTGCACACCCACACGACCCCACACCACTCCTAGGGTCGGAGCAGGTCACAGTCACTCAGGAAGGTGGCCCAGGGCGCCTCAGCATGAAACACGCTCCCCCACCCTTTCCAGGTAGAAACTCTGCAGAACCCTCGCGTGTGGCTGGATGCAGCCACCCAGATCTTCTTCTCTCTGTCCCTGGCCTTTGGAGGACACATCGCCTTTGCAAGCTACAACCCACCCAGGTAGGTGGTCAGGCCAGGGGTCGGGACAGCTCTGGGGACCTGAGATGAGAACCCACATGTCAGGCCTGTGGGCTGGTGGTTCTGGGACCTCAGGGGCAGCTGCGGGGAGACAGCCTAGGGAATCAAACCCAGGCGTGCAGCCACCACCAAGCATGACACCACCCGCATGACAGTCGCCCTAACAGAGTCAAGGCCTGCGGCTTTCATGACCCTCACGTGCACAGAGCCCCAGGGCGCAGTTATGACTCTAAGTAGACAGCTAAGGCACGGTGACAAACTAAGTCCACCTAACTCCATGCAGCTGCCGGTGTTTCTGCCCCCAGAGGCAGGTGGTCAGCATGGGATGGGGTTCTCTGGGCAGTCTGCCTGCCAGCGGCCTTTAGGGATGAGCGTGGACTTTCCACATGAGTGACTGACACGTGAGCACCTTGAACTCATGCTACATGGGTGCTTGTGCGTCTCTCCCGTGGGGACAACTCAGACACTCCAGGCTCCAGTCCTCCATGGATGCCCGAGGCCCTCGCAAGGCCCGAGTGGGTTTCAGACCCTCGGCTGCCTTAAGCCGGGCCCTGTGGATGGCTGGGAGAGAGGGCTGAGCAACCAGAGGCCACGGGACCTGCAGCAGCAGCCCGTTTCGAGCGGGGCTCCCCAGGTGTGGGAGGGGTGAGGAGAAGTCTCCTCCTTGATCACCTCTGGGTGAGCCTGGTTGTGACCCACAAAACCCTGTGACAAGCGTGCATCTGTGCCTAGGAATGACTGCCAGAAGGACGCCGTGGCCATCGCCCTGGTCAACAGCATGACATCCCTGTATGCGTCCATTGCCGTCTTCTCCATCCTAGGCTTCAAGGCGACCAATGACCACAGGCACTGCCTGGACAGGTGAGCTCAGGGCCATGCTGGATTTCTGGGCACCGCTGCAGGACATGCATGGTGTATGCTCGGGTGGTGGGGTGATCGGTGTCCCCAAAAGATCATGTCCACCCAGAACCTCAGAAAGTGGCCTGTCTGGAAAAGGGCTCTCCATGTATGTAATTAAGGTGACATGGCACTGAGGTCATCCTGGAGTGGCCCTGAGCCAACAACGGTGTCCTCATGAGGAGGCCACGTGGAGATGGACACAGGGACTGGAGTAACATGGCCACAGGCCCAGGACACCCAGAACCACAGGAACCGGAAGAGGAAGGAAGGGCCCTCTCCAGACACCTCTGAGAGCATGGTTGAGACATCTTGATGTCAGACACCTCAGTCCCCGAACGCAGAAGACACACTCCTGGAGTTTTGAGGCACCTTTTGTGGTCCGCTCTCATGGCAGCCCCAGGATGTGGACACAGTGAGGATGGCCTGCACGTGGTGTCACCCCGTCAGATGGAGATGAAAACAGTGGCCTTCCAGATGGTCCCACCACGGAGGACCACCAGGTGGACGTTGCTGCTGACACGGGTGGTGCTGCCCCCCCACAGGGGATACATGGCAGTGTTGGGACAGTCGTGGTTGCCACATGCGGCAGGGGCAGCTAGGGTGGACAAGCACAGTGCCCAGGGTGGCCACACAAAGGCCAGCCGAGTGTCCGCAGCACTGCAGTGACACACCTTGTTCTAGCCACATGCATTAGCACAGGGCAGGAGAGGACGGATGGCCACCCCCCATGCAGCCTGGATCCTGGTGCTCCAGGCTGTGTGCATACCTCGTGGAACCTTCCTGAGAGCAGCAGAGCCCATGTGGGCAGAGCACGACCCCTGAAAAGCAGAAGGGCAGCTCTTCCGCATCTTTCATGGAGAGGTCAAGGTCAAGCTCCGCCAAGCCTCCTGCACTTTGGGCATCATCTGAGTGCTGTGCCCCACCAGGCACCTGCCTGTGTGTGGCCGCCATACCGTGTCATGACGTAGCTGGCTCTGACGAGTCCTGGCACTCCAGTCCAAAGTCCCTGCTGCACAGAGCCAGAGAATGTGCACCTGACGCTCCTGGGAAACAGGGTGGGCTCTGGTCATATATATATATTTTTTTTGAGTTGGAGTCTCACTCGGTCACCCAGACTGGAGTGCAGTGGCCGCTCCCGGCCACCGCAGCCTTGCCTGCTGGGCTCTGGCGATCCTTCCGCCTCAGCCTTCTGAGTAGCCGGAATTACAGGCATGCGCTACCACGCCCGGCTGATTTTTTTTTTATTTATTGTAGAGATGAGGTCTCGCTGCCCAGGCGGGTCTCGAACCCACAGGCTCAGGCAATCCACTCACCTCAGCCTCCCAAAGGCGCGGGATTACAGGCTGAGCCACCTAGCCTGGCTGTCTGGTCGCATTTTTGATGGCAGGTCGCAGGTGACCATGTTGTGTCTCTGTGAAGATGCCTTGTCGGTATGCAGCGCCGGTTCTCTGGTGCTGATTGTCCTGTCTGGCCTGCTTGGGGAGCTCCTGGGACACGCGTGTCTTCCCCGTGAGGCACATTACAGCCTTGCATGCTTTGGGATGCAACAGCCTGGCAGCGTGGAGCTCACTTAGACAACGAGATAGTCAGAAGCCGCCCAGAGCCATGGGAGCCTGGCACTGAGGCCACAGCAGGACGACCAAGAACAAGGCGGCCGCAGGGTGGTGGCTCACAGTGGCCACATTTCCCATCATTCTTGGAACGTCTGCACGTGGCCACCCACAGGCTCAAGCATTGGCATGGGGTGACACGTACATCTCAGTGAGTGGCACATCAAGACCACCTGTGTGATCACACGCCTGCCCCAGCCCGAGTCTGCAGGCCACAGGAGGCAGAGAGGGGCTGTTCTGGGGGAATGTTACCCCAGAAGCCATCTGCAGGGTGCAGGCTGGCCTGGGCCTCCAAGCACTGCCCTGTGTCTATGTTTGCACCCGAGCCCCGAGGACAGGAGCCTTTGACGTGGTTGGGCCGGGGGTGTAGGTGGGGTGAGCCAGCCGGGCCCTTCCCAGCAAACCCTCCGAACCCACGTCCTCCGAGATCACGGAAGGGGATGGGGCCCTTCCGCAGAAGGGCACCACAACTGTCTTCCTAGAGGGCAGTGCCCGCGCCTCAGCCCAGTGGCAGGGGAAGCGTGTACACATGTCCTGGCCCCCCCTACAGGCTCCGGACCTACATGTCGAGGTGAGAACGCTGTCCCATGGCCCCTCCACCCACATGGGCATGTCCCCTCCCAGGCCCAGGGAGGGGAGTGGCCTCCTCCTGCCGTTGCATGCGTGGAGTAAATAGTGGCCCCACCCCGGTGTGGCCCCAGCACAACACCCCGGTGTGGCCCCGGCACAAGTGTCTGCATGACCCCACCAAGGCCAGAAGGGGCCAGCCCTCGCAGCGGCACTGACTGAGGGCTGCCCTGGGTGTGTCTACTGGCCAGACTGAGAGCCTATGAGCCTCTGTCCCTGCAGAAACATCCTCAGCCTCATCAACGAGTTTGACCTCCCTGAGCAGAGCATGTCCAGGGACGACTACACGGCCGTCCTCTCGCACCTGAATGCCACCCAGCCAGAGAGGATAGCGCAACTCGCCCTGAGGACCTGCCGCCTAGAAGACTTCCTGGACAAGGTATCTGAGCACGAGGCCGCCCTCAGGAATACGGGTGACATCTCACCGAATGGCTGCGGGAGTCACCCACAGACCCAGGCACCAGTCCTGAATGAGGTGCCCTGGCCGGCTCTGCACCTCAGTTTGCTGAGCCCGGCAGGCAGCTGTGTCTGGCAGAGCTCTCTCCCCGAGAGAGCAGGTCCCGCTGGGGCACAGGCCCCAGAAAACAGGGGCAGCCAGCATAAGGGTCCAGGGCCAGGCCATGGCGGGGTCCAGCTGCATGCAGGGACAGCTAACGCCTTGACCCAGGGTACCAGGCCAGGGGTGTGCAGTCAGAAGGCGGGTCCTGGGGGCTCTGGAGCCCGTGCTCAGCGCTTGCTGGAGATCACAGAAGGGGATGGGGCCCTTTCGCAGAAGGGCACCACCACTGTCTTCCTAGAGGGCAGTGCCTGCACCTCAGCCCAGTGGCAGGGGAAGCGTGGACACGTGTCTCCTAGCAGGGGTGCATGTGCAAGTTGCCGCCAGGTGCATCTGCACATGTGCATGCCAGCAAGGGTGGTGTTTGTGCACAGGTGTCTCCATGTGGCACACGTGCATTTTGCAGGCTGGTGTGTCTGCACGGATGTGTGTGTGTCGCCTGGGCGGTGGGGCACATGTCCCACGGTGGCCCGTGTGTTGCAGAGCGCCTCGGGCCCAGGCCTGGCCTTCATTGTCTTCACGGAGGCTGTCCTTCACATGCCGGGCGCCCCTGGCTGGGCCGTGCTCTTTTTTGGTATGCTGTTTACCCTGGGCCTGTCGTCCATGTTCGGGAACATGGAGGGGGTCATCACGCCACTCCTGGACATGGGGATCCTGCCCCGATGGGTGCCCAAGGAGGCCCTGACTGGTGAGTGGGCAGCCCGGCCACCCGGAGGGCCTGGCTCCACCATCCTGCGTCCACTCCAGTCACTGTCCAGACCCGTCCTTGAGGGACAGCTGGAGGGGATGGGTGGGCCATCTTGTGGAGCTCTTGTGGAGGTGGTCACGGGAGAGCCGTGGGGAGGAAGGGGGGAGGGAAG